GCAGAGGTGATCAACAAAGTTTAGTCACCAGACAAAGACTTAAGGCCGCAATCAATAGAACCTATTACGCAGCTAAACTTATCTTCATAGAGAAAACGAGGACTATGCTGTTCTGTAAACCCTCACATCATCCGAACGATAGTGTCACATCCCATTGTGTTTATCAATTTACATGTATGTGTGGAGACACGTACATAGGGAGGACCCATCGGTCTCTGCAGGTTAGGGCTACAGAACACATTCCCAAGTGGCTGCAGCAACAAATGAAATCACCAGACACAATTGAACCCGGAAATAGATGTCCAACATCATCTATAGCCAAGCATATTATAGAGACGGGTCATAAGGTTGATTTCAACAGTGCCTTTAAGCCGATATATAAAACGAGGTCGGGCCACATACTTAAATTCATTGAAGCCTTAGCCATAAAAAGACTTAAACCTGTCTTATGTGTACATAAATTATTTGTTATCACCTTAAACCTGCCTTGGTAATTCAATTTAGAACCGAGGACTAATTTACTTCCTAATATTTTCAACCCCTTCTTTGCTTTGTTTTCTCTCCTTTTGTCTTTCTTACCCTCACCTTTTGTGTCTCCCTACCCATCATTTGTGACCTTGACCTGTATTGTAATTATTCATGTCTTCTTGCATTATATAAAAACTGTGTATGACAAGTACGTGTGTGATCAGAATGTCCGAAATGTGTTGCGCCAATACATTACACGTTTCAGATAAACTACGTCTTCTTATTGTGTTGTCGAAATTCATAAAGGGAACTAATTGCTTTAAAAATATTATCCATAATGGAATTCTGAAATCGAATTCTCAATTTACAGATTAATTAGTAATTTGAATTTACACACTTTGAGGAGGTAAGATTTCACCACAGCTTTCTTTCGGAGACAAAAATTATTCAGATCACAATACATGATCTTTCATTACTCTCAAATCCGTGTGGAGGTCAACAACATTCAGCGTCAAAAATAAGATCGGGATTTTCAACTCCAATGTGAAGTCAGTGCTACTATACGGATCAGAGACTTGGCGTGTCACAAAGAGCACCTCAAACAAGCTACAGACATTCATTAACAGATGTCTTCGCTCAATACTCAAGATCAGATGGCCGGAAAGGATCAGCAACAGAGATCTCTGGCAATGAGCGAACCAACACAGCAGGAACCGATTGTGAAACAAATAGGCAGGAGGAAATGGAGATGGATTGGCCACACTCTGAGGAAACCATCAAGTGACATCACTAGACAAGCCAACGCTCGAGTGGAACCCGAAGGGGAAGCGGCGAGTTGGTCGTCAGTGCAAGGGTGACATGGAGGAGGTCATGTGAAGAGGAGATGAAAACGTGTGGGCAGACTTGGAGCCAGGTGAAGACTCCAGCAGAGAACCGAACGCAATGGAGACGCACGGCTGAAGCCCTATGTTCCTCTAGGAATTAAAGGAAACAATAATAATAATAATAATACATGATCTGCTTGATACCATAAGTGGTAAGCAAGAAAGCAAGAATCAATACGTAAAACGATATACTACTGATTGATTGAGATGAGTATCTGTAAACCATCACCCATATCATCCAGAAGTGCTTGCTGGCCAACCAGATCGAAGTGATCTAAACACCGGGCCACGGTTTCTCTCGTTTTGAGGCTGAGCTCATCAACGGAGGTGTACCCAGTTTGGCTCAGCTCAGAAAGCCGAATCAGTTTAGGTCACCTGAATTTAGACTGAATTAGTGTTTAATTCAATTTTAGATTTTCCCGTCGATTGATTGAACCGAAGTGCTCGGTCTCAGGTTGACATGTCGACGCATCCTGGATTCCACTGCTCGTCACCATCAACCGATTAACTTCTAATTACATGCCCAGATATCGTCGAAGCATCTGCACGAGAAGCCGTCATGTCAACCTAGGACCGAGCACTTCGATCCAATCAATCGACGGGAAAATCTAAAATTCAGTTAAATGATTAATATGACCCGTTGCACAAGAGGTGGCTCCCATGCCCCAAGTGGTCTAGTGGATAACGCTTTGGCTTTTGAAACTATGGGCACTGGGTTCGAGCCTCGGTGGGAGCATCACCACTCACTGGGGAATGCAGGCACATCCAGCTCACTAGTTCCAAATAGGACGAAGTGTGCATCCTGGATTCCACTGCTAGTCACCATCCACCAATTAACTTCCGAATTAGTGTTTATTCTAAAGTCTGTCACTATTAGATTCTAAGCATCTAAAAGAATTATTTCTTTTTTCTTTTCCAGATATTGTTAGGTTTACTCAACTATCCTGATGTACATGTAGTTCAACGTTCATTGTGCTGTCTGATTTATTTAAGTCAAAAGTAAGAAAATGAAAACTGTACAATAATAGTCAAATATTTATTTTAGGAAAAGTTCTCGTACACATATTACTAAAATATTTAACAGTAATCTGATAATAAAGTTATTATCTAATGAAGATGAAAAACAAAAGCGGTGAGTGACATAACCTAAACATTTACTTTATCTGCTAGTTATCGTTTAGACATATTCAAGTATGATTGTATTTAATACAACTTTAGATTTTACCGTCGATTGATTGGACCAAAATGCTCGGTCTCAGGTTGATCTGTCGGCCTCTTGTGTAGATGCTTCGACGATGTCTGGGCATGTAATTAGATATTTAATTGGTGGATGGTGACTAGCAGTGGAATCGAGGAAGCGCATTTCGTCCTATTTGGGACTCGTCAGCTACAGGTGCCTGCATTCCGCAGTCAGTGATGATGTTCCCACGGGAAAATCTAAAATTGAATTAAATAATCAATGTGACCCGTTGCACAAGATGTGGCTCCTGTGGCCCAAGTGGTCTAGTGGACAACGCTTTGGCATTTGAAACTATGGGCATTGGGTTTGAGCCTCGGTGGGAACATCATCACTCACTGGGGAATGCAGGTACATCCAGTTAGCGGATGAGTCCCGAATAGGATGAAATGCGCGTTGTCCTGGATTCCACTACTAGTCGGCAACCACCAATTAACCTATAACTTTATTGGTTAAATTTTTCGTTAAACTATTAAGTTCAAGTATGATCATGAACTGGCTTCAGTTAGACGATCACTGAAATTCAGAAAGTGCTGCACAGAGGTGAGGTCATTTCGTGATTAAATTTGAAATCAATCAAATCATTGCAATTGAAAATTAATCTACTGCTCACCAGTGACTGACTATAGGATGAAGTTGTCTGAATTTCTGGTGCGAAGTCCTAACCAGCAAGATCCACCAGGTTGCATCTGAGCAGAGGTAATCACCGATGTCATCGACTGGAGGTTACGAATCAACAGAAGTTAGAATTCGCGGGCTAAAGAGTTCAGTCCCAGTGGCTGAATGGTCACCTGCTGTGGTGATGGGTGTGTACTACTGAAGAGTCTTAAACAAGAGCGAAATAACTAACCAGAACTTACTGGCTTTCAATGGTTCTCTAACTGAAGTCAGTTTGTGGTCAAACTTGAAGTTTAACTGTTAGTTATATTGTGCTCAGGGTAATCTTCTTTTGGTTTAAGTTCTGTCGTAAAAATCTTTCCCAATTTTATTTAGGAGTTTACCACACTAAAAAGAAACATCTGAATTATGATTGTCTGAGGCGGTCCACATAGTTATCACCAGTCTTCCAAAGCTCATTTTCAGACTATATGGTGTTATCAGAACCTAAAGGTCTATAACAAAGGTATTTAAAATACAAATTATCTGTGGTTTATTCTATAACAGGCGTGAAACGTGCATCGATAGTTCAGTGGTAAAATGCTCACCAGTCACACAGGAGGAGCAGTTATGATTCCTGACCAGCACACTCTTAAACCTTGCCGATAGTAAACCCGAAGGAGAGGAAAAGTTAGGTGCGAGGCTGGCAATCGCCCTTTGCAGTAAAAACAGCACCACGGTTGCCGGGACTTCAAAGATTGAAGCCCTATTTGCTACTTGGAAGACAGGGATTGAGAAGAAAGAGATGATTCATATGTGGCCACTTGGGTTGTGAATTGTAGATGAGGTATAGTGGCTAAAATAAAATGATGAAATACTTATTGTTGCGATTAACCGTTATTAAATGAATGCTCTTGGAGATTGATTCTACATCTATAAACTACTATTCACCACAAAATACAATATGAAAAAAAGTTAAACTGTGTTATGTGGAAGATATGTCACATATTATTATTATTCCCTTGCGTTCCGAGTGGAACATAGGGCTTCAGTAACACATCTACACTTTGTTCTGTTTTCTGCCGCCCTCTTTGGCTGCGTCGACGATTGACCAGACTCTCTCATCTCCTCCTCACACAATCTCCTCCATGTCACCCTAGGACGACCAACTCGCCGCTTCTTAACGGGATTCCACTTGAGGGCCTGGCGTGCAATGTCATTCAGTGGCCTCCTCAATGTATGCCCGATCCATCTCCACTTTCTCCTACATATTTTTTGAGCGATCGGTTCTTGGTTGGTTTGTTTCCAGCCAGAGTTTCTTGTTGCTTATTCTTTCTGGCCAGCCATTTGATCTTCAGTATGGAGCGAAGGCAGCTGTTGATAAAAGTCTGCAGCCACCTTTTGGAAATCCTTTTCATGACACGCTGGCCATGTTTCTGATCCGTATAGAAGAACTGAATGAACGACTTCACATTGGTATTGAAAATGCGAATCTTGCTCCTTATGCTAAGTGCGGAAGATTTCCAAATTGGTTTCAGGTTGGTGAAGGCACATCTTGCCTTTCCGATTCTGGCCTGCTTTGACATCTTCAAGAGTTCTGCCTATGGTTGAAACCGTGCTTTCTAGATAAGTGAAGGAGGTAACCTCTGTTAAATCTCTCTCGTTGATGGTGATTGGTGCTGGTTGTTGTTGTTGCTGTTCGTTGGTTATCTTCATCACCTCCGTCTTCTCTATGTTCACCAGCAGTCCTGTTTTCGCTGCCTGCCTCTCCTGCTAGTATGTTTATCTTCGCCTGTAAGTCTTCAAGTTTGTTTGACACTGACAGCGTGTTCCTGCCTCCTTACTCCCCACGCACAGTCTGGCGCATAATCCAGTCGGCCAAAATTCAGAATATCATCAGTGATAATAGGCAGTCAGCATTATCTTACTCCTATCTCCGCTTCGAACACCTCACTGAGTTTTCCGTTGTGAATCACTTGACACGTGGCATTGTCACATTGCTGTTGAATGAGGTTGACAAAGACTTGAGGTACGCCGTAGTGTTGAAGCAGTTTCCAAATTACGTTTCGGTCTACTCTGTCGAAGGCATATGTGACATTACTGTATCATATAACTAATTATTGAAATGGAATCTGGCTTATTTAGCTACAATGAAATTCAGAGATTGAAAATTTGCTGATGATTAACCGAAAATGATTTGCTGTTATGACCAAAACCAACTCGTTGTGGTCTGAACGCAGGAAATCAATATCTGCGTCCTACTTTATGCATTAGTGAAAACTTCCTTGAGACATGCACAGCCCGAAAACGCACTAAAAACAGCATTAGGACGATCGTTCGTGGTTGGAATTTATGTGTGGTTCTATTCGACAACAATAATAACATCAAAGACTCAAAATCACCTCAACACTGCTGTTAGGCAGCTATACAGTCAAGAGAAAGTTCTCAGTACAAAAAAAATGACTTCAGAACAAAATTAGTTAACCAAAATTCAACTGTAAGAAATAACTTAGAATCAATTAGAATATTTTGATTGGACACTAGTAACTAGTGTGATGTGTCTAGTCCTTTGTATGGTGCGGACTGAATTCTGTCACTTAGGTTCGCAATGTGGCTACTATTCTAGGTAGCTCACCATCACGGTGTACATTGATTTGATGATAATTGATGGTTGGAGGCAATCGGTAGGAAGCCTTGCTTGACCTAGGTTTCGTGCTAGTTGGCACTCACCAGTCAGCAAGGCCTATCTGCAACATTAAAGGAACTCATGTCCCTTTTGAGATTCAAACCCGCATCACCCAGTGCAGTGCTGCAGTCAGAGACGTTACCAGTGAGCTATTCGGGCTCACGACTGACCTTCTGTAGGACTGTAGTGGATACCTTGATTAGACACCAGAACTAGTGTGATGTGTCTAGTCCTTTGTATGGTGCGGACTGAATTCTATCAGTTGCAGATACGCCTTGTTGACGACTGCCAACTAACACGAAACCTAAGTCCAAAGCTTCCTGGTGATTGCCTCTAACCATCTAATATCATCGATTAGGATATTCACAACAACGTAGAATCAAAATCTCTGTCCACAAGAATCACACATCACCGCTTCTCGCACACATTCCAAGGTCAGAATCACCTAAATCCACTTGAAAATCGCATCGTAAAACAACACATTATCAGTGTATCACACAATCACAGGAAGGAAAAATTAAAATTAGGAATGTAACAGAGACAAAGACAAATAATGAGAACCAAGTCAGCACATCATATGGAAATGTCAGAACAATAATATACACATAATATACACATACATAATATACATTACAAAGAGTTAATTGAAATACCCAAATACTTATCAATACTGTGGTTAGATCTTTAAGAAGGGATTTTCCAAACAATTATTGCGTTACATTAGCCTTCGATTTTTCGCTTCTAAAAGAATAAAACGGATCTACATTTTCTCATACTACATTTCATTACATATTTTGTAGTGATTATTATTTCTTTTAAATGTATACCATTCAGAGTTGAGTGAATGTGAAGTTCGAAAGTTCACAAATTTTATAAAATGCGTCTGCAAAGTGAACATTATATCGGTTTAAAGAGATTTGTGTCTGGTTGATTTAAGCACACAATATTTAGTCCCTTGGTCATAAGCATGAATTCAATTGCACCTAATGAAGAAGGGCTGATCAGTATACATGATAAACACTGATCGTCTAACACAAGAACCTACTGGAAATAATTCACTTGCTTTCAACCCACTGAATTCCTCTCTGTTATGTTTATTTTTCAAGTTATCAACTTAACGGCGTTGATTTGCTAACGGCTTGATTACATTACTGACCAGAATTTATGCTTCTTTTTCTGATTATTTCGTCTGTGAATGTATTTTGATTATTATTATTGTTTCCTTTAATTCCTAGAGGAACATAGGGCTTCAGCCGTGCGTCTCCATTGCGTTCGGTTCTCTGCTAGAGTCTTCACCTGGCTCCAAGTTTGCCCACACGTTTTCATCTCCTCTTCACATGACCTCCTCCAAGTCACCCTTGCACTGACGACCAACTCGCCGCTTCCCTTTCGGGTTCCACTCGAGCAATGGCTTGTCTAATGATCTCACTTGATGGTTTCCTCAGAGTATGGCCAATCCACGTCCATTTCTTTCTGCTTATTTGTTTCACAAGCGGTTCCTGGTTGATTTGCTCCCACAGGTCCCTATTGCTGATCTTTTCTGTCCATCTGTCCATCTGATCTTGAGTATTGAGCGAAGACAGCTGTTAATGAAGGTCTGTAGTTTGTTTGAGATGCTCTTTATGACGCGCAGTGCAAGTCTCTGATCCGTATAGTAGTACTGACTTCACATTGGATTCGGTGTATTCTGATAGCAGATTATTAATATCTACATCATGGGATTTGGATTAATTGCTCTTGTAATATCCCATCACGAGCCAACATCCGTTATAGAGATCACCAGACGACTGTCTCTTCCTGTTTTAAGACTCTTCATCACTGGACACCCACGACCCCACCAAGGACCTTCAGTCTACAAGACCAAGCTCATTGACGATTCGGCCATTTGAAGCGGAAATCAATAACCCAAAGAAGGCATTATTTCGAGATATCACGAATCGAATAAGTTAGAATTCACGGGTCACTGAATCCCAGGCCAAATGGCTGAATGGTTAACGAGCTTGACATCCTAACCAGAAGGTGTCGGGTTTGATCCCTGGCCGGATCATGGGTGCTGACTACTTAAGAGTCCCAAACTAGGAAAAAACAGGTGTCAAGTACTACGTGGTTTTCACAGGTTTCTCTCTAACCGATATTAGTTCGCGATGAAATCTAACACGTGAAACAGATGATTGGATTTGGAATGCTAATCAACTCTATAAACTGTAGAAATTTATTTTGAAGCTGAAATGGAATACTGTCAATGCTTATATTATTAGTGTATATTTCAACTATTAAGGGTAACATCATTTAGGAAAGTATTCTAGTGGATTTCCCGATATACAGTCTGAAAACAAAAACATAACCAACGAAAACTTCTGCTTGTTTGCTTGCTTGGTTTGACTTAACTTTTGCTTGTATGCTTATTTTTCTAACTACTTAAAACTCTTACGTAATTCCGTATGTTATTTTGTTTCCATGTTCACCCTGAGCACAACTCTTTCATCAAACTATTCATGTTACTACGTAACTCTTCTTTAACAATCGTTTGTGACAACTTATCACTTTTTTTTACTGCTCTCTTATATCAACATCCAATTCCTCTGAATTCCTTTTGTATTGCGCAACTCCACCAAAAACTTAATAATTCTATTTTCAAGATTGTTTTATAAGTGAATTGAAATCAAAAATGTTATAAAAATGTCAAGTATTGTCTAAAAATTTTAAAAAATTAGGAGTACGATTACGATGAGAATGAAGATGTGAAGTGAAGTGAAAAGAATTCAAGTGGTAAAATAAAATAAAGTAAAAACTAGAAAGAACATTACTATTACCAAGGTAAAGAAAGGAGTTTGACAAAACGTTTTTGAACACATAATTTAGGTTTCTGTTCATGTATAGCTAAAGCTTCAGCTATGCATAAGTGAAGAAAACGTAAACTTTGGGATCGATTAGATTTTGCCATGTAGATAACTTTAAAAGATGAATCACGTGGGGCTAAATGACCTGACTCTAACAGGTGATCACAGATAGACGACTTCGCAGTTCTACGTTCACCTTTCATTAACCAGACTGGATAGTGTTCAGCTACACGTTTTCGGAGATTACGCTTACAAAGTCCAATATAAAGAGCTCCACAAGAGCAGGTAAAAGATTAAATACACATAGATGTGGACAAAAGCGGTAATCTATCCTTGACGCATTGTCTAATCATATTTCGGCTGGTAAAAACTAGTTGTAAGTCAGCTGCAGGAAAAGTACGTTTAATACATTTAGATAAACGATTTTTAATCAATTCCGAAATGGTGTCACCTTTGAATGCCAGACTCATAAACAGTTTCTTCTTTGGGACTGTAATTTGTCTTTAATAATTTTGTAATTTATCCACTTCAAACTCTACCCCTTATGACATTTTAATTATCGTTATTCTTATCACATATATGTATATTGACTGAGCAATTATTTAGTGCCACTTAGTAATTCTATTTTCGTTTGACAAATTTAAAGTACACACACATACAAAACAACCAAAGATATTTGCGATTGTACAGCTATGAAAATGAATTCGCCAAGAAGAGACTTTTCGCTGAACTACTAGTCTTCTCTCTATTAATGTTCGAATGGGCATTTTTCATGAATTAAAGATCATATCATTCATACCTCTGATTACGGGAATTTCAGAAAACGAATGTAGTTGGGGGTAGAAGTGTTTGTTTGTAGGTACTTAACTGATTTCAAGTTAGTTCATGGATTGACTTTACTTGGAGAACCATTCAAAAGCCAAAAATGTACTGAACAGCTGAAGAGATCAACACAAGGACGAGATATCTGTCCAGCACTATGTAGATTTTAATGGTTCTCTAACTGAAGTCACTTCTTGATCTAACTTTGAAGCGAAAATCCATCTTATTCAATTTTCAGCTTAATATCTTGTTTCAAATTGTAATCAACTTCCTGTTTCATTAAGTGATATTGTCATTAGAATTTAACTGGTGGATGGTGACTAGCAGTGGAATCCAGGGTGCGTACTTCGTCCTATTTGGGACTCGTCATTTGGATTTACCTGACGAGTCCCGAATAAGACGAAATGCGCATTCTGGATTCCACTGCTAGTCACCAACCACCAATTAACCTCTAATTACATGCCTAGACATCATCGAAGCATCTGCACAAGAAGCCGACATGTCAACCTGAGACCGAACACTTCGGTCCAATCAGTCGACGGGAAAATCTAAAATTCAATTCAATGATATTGTCATTTTCTTTTCTATTCTGTTAAAGATTAGTAGTTTGCCTAATTTATACATTGATTATGGAAGATGAATACTTCAAAAATCTGTCTACTAATCAGCTTATACTGGCGAAATTTTTATCACTGATTTCTAATGAGACAAATGTTGTAATGGTAAGTGTTGTTTTAAAATAAAACGCTGACTTCGTAATTCTCACGTCTTTAATTTTTTTTAAAGTCGCTTGCTAAGCAGGTCAAAATAGTAATTCATTGATGTTAAAATGATGAATTTCTTGAATGAGTTATTAAACTATAATCTCGATATTCCATTCTTGATGGTTGTTTGTTTTCTTTAGCAAAAAAAATGATGAGAGAGATGATTTACATTTATTTACAATGGATTCTGTTATACTCAAGTGAGAAGACGTGATCAGTAGGGTGCAGCAGGTCGGGTGTGAGGACAAATACTCGCCGAAGACATTGGCTAGTGGTCACGCTATATCGTGAATTGGCAGAAGCTGGAATTCATTCAATGGCCATTGGATCGGGTCCCAGTGGCTTAATGGTATACGAGCTCGCCTTGTAACCATAAAGTCCTGGGTTCGAACCGTGGTGGGTGGATATGTACTGGTGAAGAGTCACAAACTAGGACGAAACAGCTGTCCAGTACTCTCTGCACTTTTTCCAATGGTTCTGTAACTGATGTCAGCTCATGGTGAAATCCTGGATTCTGTTATATTTTGGTGTTTTCCACTGTCTTCACAATTTTTAGTCATTCTGATTGATACTGACAGGCGTAATTCTGCAACTATTTCTTTTTTGTATTTTGTATTATTTGGAATATGATAATTAGTGAATCTGAAAGTTGCAAAGGAATCTTCACTGCTTTCTAAGATAAAGCCTGGGGATAGAAAGGTCCTTGTGATAATGGTATTCTAAAGTGGTTTATTCAAAGTTGACTACTGAAGAAGGTGTACTTTTCAACAGTTATTCTAAAGGGTTATCAATCGGTGCATTTGATGCTCTATGCATTGTAAATCTCAGCTGTATTTAATTTATAAGTTGTTTTAGAATTCCAAGCTAATTTGTGTATCATAAACCAGTGTCTAGGTTCTACACTTGATTTTAAAAGGTTTCTTAAAAGTACTTCTTGTCTGTATTTTCTGGAAATGATTTCACCAACTGCAGCTCATACCTGTTTCTCCCAGATGTTGATTTAACAAGAGGAAACAATAACTTTACTAAGGTCTCACCATTAGATGAATTTCTATTCTCTTAGTTAGTTATATTTTCTTATTCTGTTAGTCTGTATGTCGGTTGTTTAATGGAAGAATGTTCACAAGCCACACAGGAGGTGTGGGTTCGACCCCCAGCAGATGCACTCCTAAGCCTCGTCTAGTTTTGCTGGCGACTAGTATGCCAGCACAGAAAAGCGAGAGTTTTGGATGTGAAGCTAGCAGCCATACCACGTAAACACAAGATCCATGCTGCTGAAAGTTTAAGTTTTGAAGGAAGGAATGATAAAAAGTTAGTTTCAATAAACAACTCTGTTCACTAAAGGAGTATAGAAGTTTATTTGATATTTAAGACTGAATTTAGCAACTGGACGACTGGATTTTCAGAATTTTATTATTTATCCGTGTACTGGTTTCTACTAAACGAGGAACAAAAATAGTAATAGTGCATTAATCCCTGTTTTGTAGGCAAGGAAACAGTTATATTAGTATTATTCCTTTTGGTTACGAGTGGAACGTAATTCTTCAATACCCTCTTTAGCTGGTCTCACGTTTTCCCATAGGCCTTCATTTCCTCTTCACATGATCTCCTCCATTTCACCATCGGGTTACGTAAGACTCGTCTTTTCCCATTTGGTTTCCACTCGAGCGATGGCCTGGCTCGTGATGTCACTCAGCGGTCTCTTCAATCTGTGTCAGATCCATTTCCACTTTCTTTGATATAATTGTTGAGTAGAAGGTTCTTGGTGGGTTAGCTTTTAGAGTTTCTTGTTGCCAATCCATTCTGACCATCTGATCTTCAGTAGGGAACCAGTGAAGGCAGATGTTGATGATATATAGTGTTCATCAGCCTGTTTGAAATGCTTTTCGTGAAGTGCCAAGTTTCTGACCCATATAGAAGAACTGACTGACTTAACAATAATCGTGGAAATTCGAATTTTGTTCTTTACTCTGAATGCAGTGGATTTCCAGACTGATTTCAGAGTGATGAAGGTCTGTAAGTAGTTACCTTAATTTGTTTAGTTGGTCCTTTTTGTTGATTTTTACCATTTAAAAGTGGCTTCAGGCTTTAGGAAGTCTCAATACAGATTCATAAAATTCTACTAATGAAGCTAGAGGAATTATGAATGTACAGAATAATACATAAGAAATGAAATATATTTTTTGATTACAATCCTTTTTTATGTGAATGAGTTATTTTTATTTAGAATAAATAACTGGTAGTGTAATTGTGTGGGGTTGTCTTCGGTTGGAAAACTGCCTGAAACTGGGATGAAAGTTTGGGTTGTGGTGGGATTCGAGGCAGTTATTGAAATCAGCTACTACATCGAATAAGTCTGTCAACTCAAGACAACTCCAGATTATCTCAACGTCAGTGAAAGATCTGCCCCTCTCCTCCTAACTCAAGAATGACTAGGACAAACAGAAGCTAGTGCGATAACTACATGCCAGTCCTATTCATATGACTTCTAGATACTATCCGTATTGACTGTAGTGAGATGATAATCTGCTTATCATTTGGTTTTCGAAACTCACCTGGAAGGCCCCGCTGGATTAGTAATTCGGAGGCCATTGGTTTCAATCCTTCTACGGTAACGCAGATCTTCATTCCGTCTTCAGTAATTACCCTCACTACATAAGGTAATGTAATATAATTTTCAGAAGTGAAATGCGACATGACGTGTTAGCTATGCATCGGTGACATAGTGGTTAGGACGCTCGCCTACCGTGCACATGGTCCGAGACTCGATCCCTGACCGACGCACATCTGATATCAATGGTCGGCCTGCTAAATTTGGGCCATCGATATCATGTGCTGACACGAAAGGAATTTTTGAACCCAGGATTTATATTTGTTGGCACTCATCAGCAAGGTGTATCTGCATCCTGGAGTGAATTCATGTCACCCAGTCACGAAGTGGTGCAGTCAGAGACGATACCACCAACATAAAAGACTAAAGACTTGGCTCTGGTGACTTATCAGTGTATCCATTACAGTTGTACATGAGTTCAGTATGGTGAGCCCCAAACAGCTCTGTGGTATCGCCTCTGACCACAACACTGGGGTGATCCATGTTTGAATTTCTTTGGCAGGCATCAGTTCTTTAGTTATTTCAGATACACCTTAATGACTAGTGCCGACAAGCATAAAAACCTAGCTCCAGGCTATCCTGCAGATTTCATAAAACCACATGATTCCAACTTCAGCTTATTTTTAGTATTGATTTGTTTATAACGAAGTTGGAATAATGTCTTGTGAATTGTCTACACTGACAGTTACTGTAAATAAACCTTGTTATATGATGCTTTTCAATCCGTGTTTTCAGATATTTAAACAACATTTTCAGATTTATTAGGGCGATCAATAATTTTAGTAGGAAACAAAATACTTTAGATAGCGTTTTATTTTGCATATAATTACTACTTACCTTTTGCTTTCTTCGCCTAATCATTGATTGTCAACTTAAAATAACTATCTCTCACAGTTATTGTACATTCACAGTGCTTTTTGCATTTTTCAGTCTTTGTGAAGACCGAACACTCAATGATCACCAAGAGATGTACTATCTGTCAAAATCATTTGAAACCTGTATACTTATCACGGCTGTCAAGCTTTTTAACTATTGTTTGAGACAGTTTAAGCCGTCTTGTCAACGGTGCGTCTTCTCTCTACTTTCCTGCGTGGATGATAATGTTATTATCGATAACGTCATGACTAGCGACTGGCTTGGTTGTGATTACCCTTCATATAATAATAACTTTATTCTGGACACAGTGTATAGAATTCTCAGAGTAGTTTATTGCATAATATCTTTCCTTTGTCCAGGATCAACAAGTGAAATACTAATCCATTGTATATCACGTGACGCAATTACCTTGAATCTGTGGCGTAAGCCAATCCCTTATGTTATTTTCCCTTCAACTCTGAAAAATACTCAACGGTAGGTTCAAAGCCCATTAAAAATACGCATAACTCATGGGCACAACTCAGTGAATAAAAAAAAAAGAAACGCAAAGATTTGATGCTCAGTGATTCAAACAGGCCGCCAAATTGAACATTGAACGCATTTCAGATTTTAAATTATCCAGCGCTATTTTAAAAATGCTTAATTTATACATAATTTTACTAAGAGATTTTCTCACTTAAATTTCTAAATATTCCTTCACAATTTATCTATTTTCTTTTCTCCTCAAAAATTATCAAGCAAAAACAATTTGTGAAAAGTCAAATGAATTCTGAAGATACTTTTAAATTCATTGAAGTAGACAATTATTTCATGTTTCTTTGGACAATTGAAAAGAATGCAGTGATTGAAAATTTAGCACCACTTCAAACCTACATTATTTTATGTTTAGAAAAATTAATACACGTAATAAAATGTCAAAAAATTTTACGGAATCATAATGGGATTACAGTTTTACTGAAATGTTTGAAGTAGGTGAAACACAGAATTGTAGAATCATTTGTTTATATGCTTATATATTTTGGTTTCTGCTCAAAATTGTCAGCTTTTAAAAAAAAATATTTTGATGGTTTAATTTAAAGGAATCAGTGAGATAGCTATGCGGAAATAATTTTAAAAAGGCTTTTTTTCATTGATTTATTGATTTAAAACACAAATTTGGTACAACATGGGTACCGAGAGATGCGCCACACAACACTATGTAAAGAAAAATAGGGAGAGTATAAATGAGAGATTTCATCCAGAAAGCAAGGAGGTCAAATTTTCAGGGTCATTCAGCGTTCATTGCTTCATGGTACTTTCAGAAAGGGAAGAAAGAAGGAATCTGCAGTATATCTGCCATTGATTGCGATCCTTGCCCATATCTGATAACGTTTCGAGCCACCGATTCGAACTATCTTTCGGACCTTAAACAAGGAAACGTGATGTACCAACTGATGTTTACCTAACAGAAATATCCTTCATCTCACGACGCTACGTCATTGGTAGGCCGTCTCTCCACATTTTCCATGCGGTCTCAGGGCTATCGAGTATACACCGGTATGGAAGCCTCTTGGAAGGCATTCATAGCATATATCCGAGCCACCGAAGCCAGTGTTTCCGGATGGCCACACTCAATGAATGATGATCTCTACCGTGCCCAAACATACTCTTTCAAACATCAGAATTGACCGCACAACGATGCCACTGGAAATAAACAATTCTACGGCGAAGGCGATGATCGGATACTCAGAGTCACTCTACATTTTCACCTCTGAGAGGTCAGGTTTCACAGGCGCAGAGCAAGACTGCATGCACTAAAGTATTGTAAACCTGACGTTTGACCACCAGGCTGACGTTGTGACGGTGCCAGAGGTGGCTTAAATAGCTGTATGTTACCCTAGCATTCACTGTTTGGTTAGAGATTTCGTCAGTCATACATCCACCAGCACTCACACAACTATCCAGATACGCGAAATTGTTTAGAGGCGACTGGTAGCAGACTAATACCCCTAGGCTACGTATAAAAGAAATGTTTTTTTTTCAGGTATTAGTTTGTAGGGATTTGATTGGTTACAAGTTTGATCACGGATTGATATCAGTTAGAGAACCAATGAGAACTAGCAGGAAGTACTGGGTAGTTGTTTCATCCTCGTTTGGGACTCTTAGGTGCTGTACACTCATGTCCCTGCTGGTGATCAGACGCTAGGACCTTCAGGTCAAAATGTGAGCTTGTTGGCCATTCTGTCACTGGACAGAATCTTATAACTTATAACTTGTAACTTCTGTCATATGTGTGAACTGAGGAAGAACCCCTCACTGGGACGAAATGGCTGTGCAGTTCTCCCAGGTTTTCCAATGTTTTCTAACTGATGTCGGCTCATGATGAAATCCTCCAACCAAGCAAATGTGTTTTTGTTCATGTCGTAAGTCTACCAATGAACGTTAGGCTTATTGACTAGATTATAGTCGATAAAAACTTTTCAAAAAGAATGAATAAGGCAAAAACAACAATTTGTACAAACGAAGGGCATTTCATTTTAGATTGTCAGTTTGTCTTCTGGTGTAGAAAAAATATGAAATTGTTTCATTACTCCTGTGTATAGAGAAAAGTTTTTAAAGTACTTGGAAATTTAACATATTTTCAGTTAAAAGGAGACTCTGAAATTAATAAATGATGCTCAGGATTTATACTTATGCAACTTTTACTCAGAGGGTTTGAAGTTGAATTTTATAAATAAACTTGAATACTTTGAAAAAGTAGGGATTCACATGATAAAGACAAGAAATGAATGGATTGGTGATGAGAAATAACAAATAAATAGCGTGCTCGAGAACATCTTTCAGTATGGCTAAGTAAAGGTGTAGTAAAAGCCATCTGGTCCAAACCGGCCACAAAGACAGCATTGAAGAATCCTTCTCTATCATCTACCGGGTAGGGAAGTGGACATCTAAAAATCTTTAGAGATTACCAGTAGAAAATATATAATTCCATTCTCCTCAAGTTTACTGAAATAATTGCTAAAAGTATAAAACTTGGACACTGTGGTAGAGTATAACTCCATCACAGATAAGACTTTATTTTAATAAATCACACAGTGTTATACAGTAATATTAACTGATGACCACGTTCCGAGCACAAATTATTGCCACTCATAATCATATCAAGTCACTCAAACAACTTTTTTACTTCATTCATACACCTGAGTGAAATTCATTAGACATTTGAGTAAAAATCAATACAAGATTATGTACATTCAGAAACAATATGAGTGTTATCAATCAAATACAATCAGATGGGAAAGACTAGTATTATTTCTGAATGTACATAATCTTATATTGATGTTTACTCAAATGTCTAATGAATTTCACTCAGGTATATAAATGAAGTAAAAAGTTGTGTGAGTGACTTGATATGATTATGAGTGGTAATAATTTGTGCTCGAAACGTGGTCATCAGTAAATATTACAGTATAACACTGTGTGATTTATCAAAATAACATCGTATCTATAATGGAGTTATACTCTACCACAGTGTCCAAGTTTTATACTTTTAGCAATTATTTCAGTAAACTTGAGGAGAATGGAATTATATATTTTCTACTGGTAATGTCTAAAGATTTTTAGATGTCCACTTCGCTACCCATTATCCACGAGATACCAAGCAACGGAAATGTGAAACAGTTTGCCCCTAGATACATACGCTTTTCGGTGCACGTTTTTGGAGAATTGATAACACACAAAATGATATTGTCTCATTCTGGACAAACCATCAGTTGTACGTTATTTACATGCATAAAGAGAAATAAGTGTTTACAATTTGGACAAAAAATATTTGTACAAAAATGTATGATCAAGATTAGAAGTTTTAGTTATATATATTCGGTTACCTCACCTTTCTTAAGGTCACTGTGTTTCAAAACAAAATAAAACCAGTGATCAGTTAATTTCATTATTTTGTTTAGTAACAAAGTTATTTGACATGAAACATGTATAACTTGAAGGTTCTGTATACACAATCATCAGCGAATAGAAAACAATCCATGAAAGTATTATCTATAGTATATAGTTAGAGGCAGTCGGTATGAATTCCTGCATCTAGGTTTTGTGCGTGTCGGCACTCACTACTAGTCAGCAAGGCATATCTGAAACCTTGAAGGATCTCATGTTGTTCTATCTGAGATTCGAACGTGTGTCATCCAGGGTTGAAGTCAGAGACGTTACCACTGAACTATCCGCACTCGCGACTGACCTGCTTTAGGACTTTATTGGACACTAACTAGCGGGTAGAGATTGTAGATGAAATGAAAATCTAGATTGACGCATGACTGCAACCAGTGGCCTCCGAATTACTCGTCTGTAGCTCCATCCATTGAGCTACGAAAATCAGCTTCTAATAATGCCATCATCTGTGGTAATCCCATTGAAAAGATAACCTAGTTAGCAGGTAAGTCTTGTAGATCAACTAGTGAAGGGTCAGGCTAATGATTTAAATGTCTGTTTGCTTGAAAACCTGAAAGAAGCAACCTCCTTTACCTACCTACCTACCTACCTACCTTTCTACCTACCTACCTGGAAGCATCGTTTCAACTACAGGCAGATGGAAGTGATGAGGATATCAAAGCAGCGAAGATAGGGAAATCAAGGCAAGTTTTCATTACTCTCAAGTCTGTGTAGAGGTCAACAGCACTCAGCATCAAAAATAAAATCCCGTTTTTCAACTCCAATGTGAAGTCAGTGCTACTATTTTGATCAGAGACTTGGAGCCGCGTCACGAAGGGCACATCGAACAGACTACAGACCTTCATCAACAGCTGCTTTCACTCAGTACTCAAGATCAGATTTCCAGAAAAGATAAGCAACAGTGTTCTCTGGGAGCGAACCAACCAGGAACCAATTGTACAACAAATCTGCAGGAAGAAATGGAGGTGTATTGGCCATAATCTGAAGAAGCAAACCACCAAGTGACATCACATGCTCGGCCATCGCTCGAGTGGAACCCGAATGGAAAGCGGCGAGTTGGTCGTCAGTGCGAGAGTGACATGGAGGAGGAGGAGGTCATGTGAAGAGGAGATGAAAGCATGTGGGCAGACGTGGAGCCAGGTGAAAACGTTGGCGGAGAACCGAACGCAATGGAGACGTGCAGCTGAAGCCGTATGTTCCTCTAGGAATTAAAGGAAATAATAATAATTAATAATTGTTTGAAAACTTTTACATTTACTCTGTCATTCACATATCTAGGAGGTTGTAAAGATATTGTCAGTAAAATATGATATGAGTTGCTTCTTTAACTGTACTTTTATTACAATTGAATACATTTCAGTAATGATTCACAAATACAGCCAAAACATAATAATAATAACAATACAGTGCATCAGGGACTCACTTCTTTGGCTGATATTTCACCTTCATTGAAGGCTTTACAACTATCGGGAAATTGTACCAATGAAAAAGAATTGGTGAGTTAATGTTTATAATGTTTAGTATCCTTCTATAAAGGTTTAACATACTATATTATAGTCATTTTAAATCGGAAATTATGACTCCATATATTCTAAGTAAAAAATAAGGCTTCTAGCTTGAGCTAATAATTTTTAGTGTTGTGCTTTTACGGAGTGGTGTTATACATCCTTAGTATTGTTGTTAAAATACCCTTAATTCCATGTTAGTGTGAGGGGATCTATATTAAGCATATCAATTGATTTTTACCTTTTTTTGAATACTGCTCGCTAACTGACATTGGATCAATGTTCAATCTGTTGATTGATTCGATCTTTTTAAATCCCTCTGTATATTTACTACTTAACATCATTATAGTTACTAATGTGACTCTTGATCCAAGACAGCTGTCTATTCAACGGTATGTCTTCTTCCTTTCTTGTGTCGCTTGTCAGTGGTATGGTGTTGTGGTGGTTGCCGCTGCGAATAGATTAGGACATTAGGCTGGCAAATCTGTGAGTTAGGAAGTTCATTAGTGCGACAGACTCGTAAACTACTATGCTGTAATGACGGTCATTATGAGGTGGGTATTCTAGCGTCACGCCAAACCATCCCTTTTTACTGGGCTTATTACCAGCTAAGTGTCTGCAGTGGATCGAAGTCTGACCACATATGTGTTTGGTGACAATTCTGCCAATGAACTATGGACCATATTAGATGAGTTAAGTCTGATACAACACAGTATTTTATTATTGTGATTCCTTTGGATTCCAAGTGGAACATAGGGCTTCAGCAACACATCTCCATTTTGTCCTATCTTCTGCTGTCTTCTTCAATTTTGACCAGGATTGCCCATAATCTCTCATCTCCTCCTCACAAGATCTCCTCCATATCACCCTAGGATGACCCATTCGTCGCTTTCCATTGGGATTGTATTCGAGGGACTGGCGCGCGATGTCATTCGTCGGTCTCCTGAATGTATTCCTGATCCATCTCTATTTTCTCTTACATATTTGTTGAGCGATCGGCTCTTGGTTGGCTTGTTCCCACAGTTTCTTGTTACTAATTCTTTCTGGTCATCTGATCTTCAGTATGAAGCCAGCCAGCGAAGGTGGCAACTGTTGATAAAACTCTGCAACCTGTTGGAAATCCTTTTCGTGACACGCAATGCAAGTTTCTGACCCGTATAGAAGAACCGATTTCACAATGGTGTTGAAAATGCGAATCTTGATCCCTATGGTGAGTGCAGAAGATTTGCAAACTGGTCTCAGGTTGATAAAGGCGTATCTTACCTTTCCCATTTTGGCCTGCTTTGACATCTTCATGAGTTCTGCCTGTGGTTGAAACCGTGCTTCCTAGATAAGTGAAGGAGGTAACCTCTGTTAAATCTCTTCCGTTGATGATGATTGGTGCTGGTTGTTGTTGTTGTTTCTGTTAGTTGGTTATCTCCATCAACTCCGTCTTGTCTACGTTCACTTGCAGTCCTGTCGTCACTGCCTGCCTCTTCAGCCAGTTTGTTGGTTTTCACCTGTAGGTATAGGTCTTCGAGTTTGTTTGACATAAAACATAAATCACCAACACACGAATTCCAGATCTTCTAGAGTCTTCTTATCGGTCATCTAGCGTGTTCCTGACTCCTCGCTCCCCATAGTCTGACGCATAATCCAGTCCACCACAATTAAGAATATCATCGGCAGTAATAGACAGCCATATCTTAACACAGCAATCCAGTATTAATGACTTGAACCACGTTTCTAGCACAATTTATTGCTTATAATGACGTTGAAATGTCATTAAGTTATTAACATTGTATCACTGTGTGTAATGTCAAATAAACTTATGTAATATGAAGGGTTATCTCTGCCAGAATTCCTAAAAAATCATGATTCCAGTTAGATCTGAGGCAATACAGGTGAAAGAGTAACTTAAGATAACAGATGAAGTGTATACCGTCCTATCTATTGTTTGATTTGGGTTGAATAAAGCATCATAATGATTTGAAATGTTTATCCATTTTCACTGCTCTTTTGATTTCAGACTGCTTTAGAACACTTATACACTTCTGTCTGTAATTAAATTGCTTTCTGTTTCATTGTATTACCAAGATGACTTCAGCAAAAGGTCAGTTAAGAAGAAAACTCTACATTAACAAGTATTGTTCTTATTTTATTCTTCATCCCATCGGGTCCCGAATGAAGCATCTGGTTTCAGCAGAAGATCTCAGTTGTATTCTGTCTTCTCCTATCACTTCCAACTGACCTATTATCTGATCAAGAGCTTTCATTTCCTCTTCACATAATCCCCTCCATGTTTTCTTCCTAGTTGAGAGCCTACCTGCCAAATAGTATCCATCAACGGCCTCCTCATGTTGTGTCCAATTCACCTCCATTTCTTTTGATCTAATTTTTTGGTCAGCTATAGGTTCATAACTGGTTTCTGCCTTCCAGATTTCCTTGATACTTATCCTTTCTGGTCGACCGCCTGATTTTGAGTACTGAGCCAGCGAAAGCAGCTACTGATGAAAGTCCACAGTTGGCTCTTACAAATGCTTCGGTGATACACACACCAAGTCCCTGAAATATATAGAAGCACTGACGTGACATTAGTGTTAGCAATTTAAATCTTTGTTCATGTGCTGAATGCTGTAGATCTCCGAATCGAATTCAGAGTGATGAAAACCTGTCTTGCTTTTGTGATCTGATGCTGGTTGGCTTCGACATCCTCAAGTGTGCTACCTGTAGTGTTGGAACGATGTTGTAAATATCAGGTAGGTGAAAAAGACTCATTTCTCCAGCCCCCTTCTGTCGGCAGTGGTTCGCTTTTGTTGTCCACCACCTATGTCTTCTCTACGTTCACCTGAATTCACACTTTCACTGCTTCTATTGGTAACTTCTTGGCTTTCTCTTGTAAATATCAGAGTTTGTGAGACTTGAGTCCAGTTCATCTGGTGTTCTTTAATCAGTCCAAAATGTGTCTGTCTTCTCATTTCCCATGACCTGCCGCATGATGCAGTCCACCGCAATAAGGAATATCATCATCGGTGATAGTAGACAACCTTGTCTTACTCCTGTCTTCACTTCAAACGCCTCACTGAACTTTCTGTTGAGAATTACTTGGTTTGTAGCATCATCATAAAGCTGTTGTATGAGGTTTACGGGTAAATGGATACCTGATTTTTATTATCGCCTTTTCTCGAAATCTTCAGGGAATTGCATTAGTTCAAGCTGTCGTAGTTTGAAAGAGAACAAAAGCGTATTGATACCATATCACACAAAATAATTGAGCAAAGAATATCCTTTTGGATAATTTCCTCTTCTGGCTCTTCAATTATTTATATGTTTATATACATAGAATATTCTAGAATTGTAGTCAATAACAATATTAATGTTTTTTTAAATAATATCGACTTGTTAAGTAAGATCAACGGGATTACAGTTCACTAAAGATGCATAAATTATAATAATAATTATTATAATCAAGATATAATAGCAAATAGAATATCAACTAAAATTAGGGAAATTTCCACAAAAATTGAGGATCATTCAAACCTAGATGGTCAAGGTAAGGATAATGTCTGAACTAGCTTCTCTTGGATGCATAAATTAGGCTTCTTAATATGGATCCCAACAGCCTCAGCAATATCTAGTAATCAAACTCTTATGGCGAAGTTAAGATTTGTTGGTATGCGGTAGATGACTTTGAAAACCGCCTGGTTAACATCAATCTTGTGTTCTGTATCCACAAGATGAGATAGGATAGCGCAACGAATAGGTTTAGTTTGTCCTTTACTTAACCAACCACGCAGGGTGATGTTCGGAAATCTGACGAATAACACGCCTAATTGTACTGCCTATATCAGATAAAAACCTGTTCATCTAAGAGGATGATTAAATACAGGTAATAGAAAAGTTTTGAGATTTGGAAGATGACAAGAAATGAGTACATCTCCTCCACTATGAACGAATTCGGTTAATGTCATATGAATTTCACGACCTTTTATTCTTAGAATCCTAAGACCATCAGATATACAACATATAAGGCTTAGACCAACAGCTGACTTATGAATCAGTGTTATGCTTTAATCTGCAAAATCTCACCTCTTTGTCAAACTAATCATAATTCAGCTAACATTATTCGATAATAAAGATAGTGACTTGGCATTCGTAACACATATTCTAGGTGAATCAATCTACGAGATTCATCAACCTCATCGATTCCTTCCCAGCCTTCTACTTCTAAACTTTTTATTAACTTGTATGCTTTTGTTTGGTTGGAGAATTTCATCATGAGCCGACATCGATTAGAGAACTTTCGGAAAACCAGCTGGGAGTACTGGACAGCCAGCTGTTTCATCCTAGTTTGAGGCTCTTCATCAGCACGCACCCAATACCAGCGTTCGAAGGCAGGACCTTCTGGTTACAAGCCATGCGAGCTCGTAGACCACTAAGCCACTAGGACCCGATCCAATGGCCAGTCCATGAATTCTAACTTCTACCAATTCGCAACATAGCGCGACCACTTTGCAATGTATTCTTCGATGAGTTACTGCCTCATCTTCAACCTGTTGCACCCCATTGGTCGCGGCTTCCCACTAGAACTCCAGGTCACTGCCTGAATAGGGCCAATCGCTAGTGAGCATCAAGTTTACTCTCTCTGCGTTTGTATGACTACCGACTCTAAGTTCTCAAGTGGTAAATTAATGAATCTCGTTCGTCTATGGTGATCATAGGAGGATCAGATTCCTTTCTCAGAAACTGATGTGATTGGATGTATACACTAATTCGGATTGGTGTGTCTCAGAATTACTAATTTACTGAATGCTAATGCATAGTTAGTTTACTTCATTAAAGTTATAGAGTGATTACCTTTAAGATTTCCATACAGTGTCAGTTTAATCTAAGTATGTTGGACTGATGCTATCCTTATTTCATGTTTACAGTTGCGTTTGAAATTCGGGACGATAATCTAACGATTATTGAAACCACACGTTGAGTGATACGTAAAATCCGAAAACACAGGATTTGTCTAAAATATGATACTATATTAAACACAAAATAATTAAATATAGTAAACAGACCTCCATTGTGAAGTATCTGTGGCTGAATGCCATCAAAGCACAATGAATGTGCGTCAATAATAAAAAAACAGCAAAGCTGTGTTGAATGCGACCCACGAGTAGATTTGAAAAGCGCGCGAATACCAGACATTGATTAAAGGGATACAAATAAACAATGTCCAGCAGTAACGGGTACATAAATAAAGCATATATAGCAGATAATGTTTAACTATATGAAATCAGTTATTATCCATCAAATAGAACATAAATATGTTGAGTAAAACTTCAGTAGCAAAGTTGTGTTTAAGAAGTAAAAGCTTTTCATGCTACTTACTAATAGTGAGTAGTTTAAATTTAACACAAAAGAAAGAGAAGTGAAGGTCAGATGAGAATGGAATTAACGATATTATTATTTTAATTTTATAGGTGTACACTTTAGATCGAAATACCATCCAATGTAATGCATGTAAGTTCTCATTTAATGAAGTTAAATGAATTGTTTTTGTATTTCTAAAGTCCGATGAGACGAAACGCGTTGCCTGTACACAATATTCATATCAACCAAGTATGATTTGACGTATTTAATAAAGTCATATATGAACGAAATATTCCTAAATTGAGTCATAAGAAAAAGACGTAATTATATTTAACAAAGAAATCATAAAGCCAGTCAGATACTGGTGAAATTTGTCCTCGAAAAACGTATTGCGTAATGTAAGGTGTAATCTAGACGGAGTGACTGACTGGAAGTTAAAAAGGAAGCAGAAGTTGGCATGACGTAATAAATGTGAGAAAATGACCAATCAGTATGATTGTGTAGAATGGACAGGAGCTAGTGGGAAGACAATAAAGAGTTTTTATAAAATCTGCATGAAAACGGAATGTTATTAATAAACAGTAATAGAGTGATCATAAAATATGGATGGTGAGAATAATAACCACAGTAAAATAATAACAATAATAATAAACTTACACGTCTACCCACATGCTTTCACCTCCTCTTCACATCGCCTCCTCCATGTCACCCTCACAGTAACGACCAACTCGTCGCTTCCCATTCGGGTTCCACTCGAGCGATGGCCTGGCATGTGATGTCACTCAATGGTTTGTTTTCTCAGAGTATGGTCAATCCATCTCCATTTCTTCATGCAGATTTGCTGTACAATCGGTTTCTGGTTGGTTCGCTCCCAGAGATGCCTCCCTGTTGCTGATCTTTTCTGGCTGATTATCTGATCTTGAGAAGTATTGAGCGAAGACAGCTGTTGATGAAGGTCTGTAGTTTGTTCGAAGTGGCCTTCGTGACGCAGATCCAAGTCTCTGATCCATATAGTGAGTTGCACTGACTTCACATTGGAGTTGAAAAACGGGATCTTATTTTTCATGCTGAGTGCTGCTGATCTCCACACAGACTTGAGAGTAATGAAAGCTTGTCTTGCTTTCCCGATCCTCGCTTTGATATCCTCATCACTTCCGTCTGCCTGTAGTTGAAACGATGCTTCCAGGTAGGTAGGTAGGTAAAGGAGTTGCTTCTTTCAGATTTCTCCTATTCATGCTGATTGTTGTCTGTTGTTGTTGCTGTTGCTGTTGGTCATGATGGCTGTATGATGAAGTGAAGTCGAATTATAAGTTGTTATAAAATTTACCAGTTCAGAATTGGGAATAATCACTAGGAAATTTGTAATATACTGGTTATTTCGAGTCTTAGTCTTCATTGTTGCATTTGTAAAGTTGTTACTGATCGAAGGGATTTCGTGTATGCTTTCTTATGCAGTGTGGAATGCGATTATTCATGGAATTACCTTCTTGCTGTTTGAATGTGTCTGAATCCACTTGTGAATTTTATAATTGAGTGATATAAGCGTTTGACTCTCAATATGCTTAGTCTTACATTTCAATTCTACTTTATTTTATGTAACATGAGTTTTCAAATTCGTTAAGTAAGGAATTGCATCTTCTAGTCAAGTGAATGAATGCAGACATATTGTTAAAGCAGCATTTAATGAGATATTCCTGTTTAGCGACTCTACCAACTTAATATAGTAAAGTCAAAATTAAACTCCACTTCTATGAAATTCTTAAGAGAAGTTTGATACAGTTTAGAATATAATTTCATTCAGTTAGATTTGATTGATTCATTTAAGCATTCTTTACAATAATTCTATAATTTATGGATTCCCTTTGTTCCTATTCCAGGTGGAACATAGGTTCTCAAGCTTCAAGCTGTGAAGTTTTAGTGATGGCGATGCTGGTTTCATAGGGTGAATTTGTTAGACATACACCGAATTTGCCCTTCTTTTCCCCGCTAACTATCAGCTGGCAAAGTATGGAAGATTTAGGGGTGTATCATCCAGGAATGGTGCCCTCACCACCTGGATGACTGGCGAGTATTCTACAGTTAAACAAACAATACATGAATTTAGTATATATGAATAGCAGTCATTTTTTTCTCTCGAATAGTGATCATTCATCTCATCCAACAGCTGTACAACAATGCTGAATGCCAAGTAATCCACAACGGGAAACTTATGGAATCCTTCGAAGTGAGGACAGGAGTAAGACAAGCTGGCTGCCTACTATCACGAACGATTTTCATGATTGCAGTAGACTGGATAATGCGACAAACAGCGGGAAATGAGGAAACAGGCATAAAATGGACTCACACAAAAAGAGAACTTGGAGGATCTGGACTTCGCCGATGATATATGTCTGATTTCCCACAAACTGGAGGATATGCAAGCGAAAAGCAACAAGTTGGCAGAAGAAGCATCCAGAGAAGATAGGACTTCAGGTGAACATAGAGAAGACAAACGTGATGAAGATTCCTGGCCAACACCAACAGCCACAGCAACAACAACAGACAACAATCAGCATAAATGGGAGGGACCTGAAAGAAACAACCTCCTTTACCTACCGACCTGGAAGCATCGTTTCAACTACAGGCGGAAGGAAGTGATGAGGATATCAAAGCAAGAATCGGAAAAGCAAGACAAGCTTTCACTAATCTCAATTCTGTGTGGAGGTCAACAACACTCAGCATCAAAAATAAGATCCGGATTTTCAACTCCAATGTGAAGTCAGTCAGTGCTGCTATACGGATCAGAGACTTGCACTGCGCGTCATAAAGAGCATCTCAAACAAACTACAGATCTTCATTAACATTTGTCTTCGCTCAATACTCAAGATCAGATGGCCGGCCAGAAAAGATCAGCAACAGGGAGGGATCTCTGGGAGCGAACCAACCAGGAACCGATTGTGAAACAAACAGGCAGGAAGAAATGGAGATGGATTGGCCATCAAGTGACATCACTAGACAAGCCATTGCTCGAGTGGAACCCGAAAGGGAAGCGGCGAGTTGGTCGTCAGTGCAAGGGTGACTTGGAGGAGGTCATGTGAAGAGGAGATGAAAGCATGTGGGCAGACTTGGAGCCACGTGAAGACTCTAGCAGAGAACCGAACGCAATGGAGACGCACGGCTGAAGCCCTATGTTCCTCTAGGAATTAAAGGAAATAATAATAATAAGAAAATAATGTTTTCAGAAATGATTAATACACACCCAAATTTATTACTAATATGCTTCAGAAAACCGACAATCACATTCTTTTTTTTCTTTCTCAAAACTTTAATTTTAGCTATATGTGCAATTTTAGCCGAATTAGCATTGAATGATTTCTATGCTGAGATTATTGCACGTGAAAATGGAATATATTTAATTGGATCACAGTTGTTAATTCGTGAGGATATTGATTCTGATAGTAGAGAATCAAGTAAAATTAAGCCAGCGTTAGAAGTGACCTCAGAACTTGCAAATCAACTCGGTCCTACTAAGCTGAAACTTGATTTTCTGAAAATTAATCTAGTGAATATTCGTCATCTTTATGTAAGTCACATTTTGTTACTTTTGAATACTTGAAGTTGCTTTTTCATTTTTTTCCATGAATTGATTTAAGTTAGGGAACCATTGAAAACCACCGAGGACTATTGGACAGCTGTTTCTCCGTAGTTTAGGGCTCATCGGAAGAACATACCCACCGGGGTTCGAACCTGGAACGTCCCGATTACAAGGGAATCTCGTAAACTATTTAGACATTGAAACTAGGTTCAGTGACCCTTGGATTCTAGCTAACTAATTACTTAGGTTGAAGTAGGCGGAGTGAGAATTGAGTCCAGGACACTTTGACTGAAAGTCGAGTGTTTAAGCCACAGAACCGCATCTCCACTTCGCGATTACTAATAAAGGAATCTGGGTTATTAGAAGAGGCGGACAGCGACTTAGCACACAATCATATAATTAAGTGGACAAGAGTTGTATTTGTAAATACTAATGTCGTTTTAAGTAAAGGACTGTGCATCACTGAAGTCGGTCTCATAGAGTCAACATCTAATATGTAAGAAAGAAGTGAAGCAAATTTTGTGAAATTTTAAATATTTTTTAAGCTACTTAAATAACGTCATTAAGTAGTGTAACTTATTTTACATAAATATGAGGGGTAAATTATATTTCGATCGTCTTTCCCTCAGTTATATTGTACGATTACGCGATACATAAAATAAATGTCCCCAGTATGAAGCTATATTCTAGTAAACTGCTTAATCTATGCTCGAATATAAGTGATTTTAAAATAAATGTCTTAAAAAAGAATTGATTTCATCTGGTGAACTGAGAAGTTATTTCACAGTATTTTCGATACCGGCTGAATTTGTTGTAAGGCTTTAGTGTCATAAACGAATTACACCTAGAAATACACCTACCATGGTTTAAATGTGAATCCATAAAAGTTTATATCACATAAGATGCATCATGCTGAACTGAGATTGTATTGGAAACTAATAAGTATTTTCTGCTATGTGAAAATCTTTTACTGCTTTTTTGCAGATTAGTTAGCGTCTATTGAAAATTCGGAATTCCATGTATGATTGCAAATAGATCTCATTTGAAGAACCACTGAAAATCAGGGAATACTAAACAGTCGTTTCGTTCCTGGCTTGGTGTCTTTGTCAGCATGCAATCATGATCCTATCCAATTTGGTAGAGGATAGATACTCGTTGTGCTGTGTGGGGCGAATTTGAGAAGTTAAAATTCGTAGACCACTAGATTCCCTCCTATTGGCTGGATGATCAATGAGCTTGCCAGGTTGGATGATGAGTGTGTGTCGCTGAAAAGTCTGGAAATAGAACGAAACCACTGTACAGTACTCCCTAGTTTTCGGTGGTCTTCTAATTGATTTCAGTTAAAGATTAAAGTTGAAATCACTCAAATCTGTGTAAACCAACACTTGAAGATTTATGATGATAACAGCTTTTCTCTGGGGAAAATATGTACTCAATGCACAGAATTCTCAGTGTAATTTGTTGTAAAATATTTTCTTTCATTATGAAACTTGAAGTAAAATAACAATCCATAGCATATCATGTAACTCACTGATGTTTGACTGGAGAAATGTGAACCTGTAGGTTGAAAACTAAGTAAAAATGCGCGTGTGAGTACATTTCGTGAATCACAGACATGATTGAATGGTTAAAACAATCGGAAATGAAGAGTGTCGGATGGGACCTCAGGTAATCCAGTGATTTAAGCACACAGCCCTTCAGAATATTTGGACACTTGCTAACAGAGAATTCGGTCACTCCAGAGAAATGCTATATTTTTGACAAGCAACGTTTGTTACTTATGCCGAAACACTTCTACAGTGTACAGAAATATATTAGTTTTTGTTTGCAAGACAAGTGTTACTTTTTCTAAAACTTAATTGTGTTTAATTATTGGATGGTGACTAGCATTGGAATTCAGGATGCGAATTTCGTTCTATTTGGGACTCGTCACTGGATGTACCTGCATTCCCCAGTGGATGGCGATGTTCCCACCGAGGCTCGAACCCAGTGTCCTGTTACATAAAAGGAGACTCTCGTGTCCCAAGTGGTCTAGTGGATAACGCTTTGGCGTTTGAAACAACGGGCACTGGGTTCGAGCCTCGGTGGGAACATCATCACTCACTGGGGATTGCAGGCACATTCAGACGAAGGTTCCCAAATAGGGCGAAATTCGCACCCTGGATTCCACTGCTAGTCACCATCTATCAATTAACTTCTAGTCACATGCCTAGGAATCGTCGAAGTATCTGCACAAGAAGCTGACATGTCAACTTGAGACCAAGCACTTCGGTCCAATCAGTCGATGGGAAAATCTAAAATTGAACTAATTTTGTTTGTTTCTAAAAGTTATCTTAAATTGACAGTCTTTTTAGAAGATGAACCGTCAAACCAGTTGCTTTTTCAGTAATATTATAAACGAATTTTCTTGCTTTTTTAAAAATCAAATATTCTATTAAATTTTCAGGCTAATGCATTTTGTGCACTACGAAGACTTTTTATGTCTGAACATAATCGGCGTTTAATCAAATCATTTCTACCATCATTGTTATTATCTGAACTAGTAGAAATTGATATAACATCAACATGTATGGACAATTATAAAACACTACTCAGTGTCTTTGAATCACTCAACGTAAGTGAATTATCGAAATTCATTCAGTATTCAACTGTTCACTGTCACTCACTCTGAATTATTGTTAATACAAGGATATTGTGACCAATTATTTGCTTTGTTTTTAACATTTTTAAATGTATCTTTAAAATATTTTTACTAAAAGCTTTTTCAATAAATTTGTAACAAACTTTGCTCTGTTAATAGTGAAGTTATCAGCACCACATAAGTGAAAGAAACTGACCTGATATATTGGTTATTGGTCATTGCCACTAACCTGTCTAAAGATCTGTTCAGGAAGCAAATGTTAGCTTCGACCTTTTCTAACCTTTATTATCAACATCGATGGTTAATTAAGAGTGAAAATTCAACGATGCTCTACCGTTATTACACTTATTCCCTTGGGTTCCGAGTGGAACATAGGGCTTCAACAGTACATCTCCATTTCACCCTGTTCTTAACAGCTCTCTTCGACTGGCTCCAGCATTGGCCATAAGCTTTCATTTCCTCACACGATCTCCTCCGTGTCACTCTTGGAGGCTGCACTCTTCGATTCCCATTCAGGTTCCATTCGACGACCTGCCTTGTGCGTGATGTCACTCAACGGTTTCCATAGCGTATGTTCGATCCATCTCCATTTCCTTCGGCATATTTTTGCCTGATATTTTATTGGTAGGTTTGTTGACTGAGTTTCTTAGTGCTTATTCTTTCTGATCATCTGATCTTCAATATGGCGCTAGCAGATACATCTGTTGATAAAAGTCTAAAGTAGCCTGTCCGAAATCTTTTTCGTGACGCGCCAAGCTTCCGACCCATCTAGAATAACTGACCAACTTAAAATTGGTGTTACAAATGCGAAATTTGTTTTTGATTTTGAGTGCAGAAGATTTCCAAACTGATTTCATAGTGATGAAGGTCTGCCTTGCTTCTCCAATTCTGCTTTTGACATCTTCATCCATTCCGTTGCCTACAGCTGAAACTATACCATCTAGATAAGTGGGGGGAAATGACGTCTTTGAAATTTCTTCTGTTGATAGTGATCAGTGCTTGTTGTTGTTGTTGGTTAGTTAGCTTCATTATCTCCATCTCCTCTATTTTTACTTGAACTCTTTTCTTTGCTGCTTCTCTTGCCATTTTGTTGATTTTTCGCCTGTAATTCTTCGAGTTTGTATGACATTAAACATAAGTGATCTGCGAGATCCAGATCTTCTAGAGTCTTCTCATCGGTCCGATGCTCTACCATGCTCATGTGTAACTCGGTTTTATATTTAGAGAAGTTAATTTAACCAATAAAAGAAAATTTGTGCAGTAGTTATATATGTACCGTAGACAATTTGACAAGCTAGTTAGAGAAATCAGAATAATGAACAGATAACTGAAATGAATTTCACAAGTGTTCAGTATCATTAGTGAAATCGAGAAATAATTTTCATATTGTGCTGTGGCATTCCTACAGTTTTTGTCGGCATTGACATAAATGGCTCACAGAAACATCGTCCCGGCTTTCATCATTTTTCATATGACAGGGTTTTTTTTATTCCTTTACATTCCCAGTGGGACATTGGGCTTCAAACTAGAGGCTTGAAGTTTCTGTAGCAGTGGTGTTGATTGTTACAGGATGGGGTTGCTAGCCTCATGCTCAACCTTTCCTCTTTACCAGTCTTGTTGCTGGCTTAGCGAGGTAAAGGAGTGCGTCGGCTGGGCCACATGCGTGGTTGACGAGCATTCTACGCTGTGTCAACGACAGGGGTTTAACCGACACAAAAATACCGTTTAGTTGTTCTTCTGTAATGGGAGATGATAAGAAACTTGATAAAGGAATGTTTATTTGGAATTTGGTATCACTATATAGCGAAATTATGTACACCTTATCTCCAAATCACCATTTGCACAGATCTTCCGTGTTGTACTACTTCTGTCCTTCATATTGATTGTGTTTCTCTGTGTTTCTTTAACGTCTCCAATATATCTCAGCAACGCTGTATCATTTGCTTTCTTTGTTTAAAATTTCTGAAACTTTTATTTTCAAATATAACTTCTTTTAATATTTTTAAACTTCCTATTCTCTTGACGATTAGAATGAAGAAAGGAATGAATTAAAAATCGGCATTTTATCGTGTGATATACATCAGACGCCTACTCACAGCATACGTGAATATTCTATCACAGAATTACTTGGAACTGGTGCATATGGTAAAGTTTTTAAAGCTACTAAAGAAAATGTTTCATCAATTAGTTATGCAGTTAAAGAGGTTAGTGTGTCTGAATTTATTATACTTAAAATGTTTTGAAATAATAGAGAAGATTTGTAGTAGCTCAGGTAGATGATTTGCAATTATTTATTTGTATTCTCTGAGCTGGTTGGTTTAATCGTGGGACTACCAGTCACATAGATAGTTACCAGGAGACGCAATTCTATCATTCATGGAGAATTTAAATCAGTTCATTTTATTTTCAAGAGTTGGTATGTAAGGATTAAATTTGTTTTTACGAATTTGACCACGAATTGATATCAGTTAGAGAACCACTGAAAACCAGCTAAGAGTATTAGAGAGCTGTTTTATCCTAGTTTGGTAATCATTGGCAGTGCGCACTCACTGGGGGTTCGAACACAGGACCTTCCGGTTACAAGGCCACCTAGTATACTATTCAGCCAATGGGACCTGATTCAGTGGCCAACCTATGAATTCTTTGCTTAGGACCAACGTCTGTAGACTATTGCTGAGATATATTTACTCCATGTGATTTACTATATGCACTTCCATGTTACTATTCATTCTTCGTGAAATGTCTGTTTATTATAGTCCTTTCGAATATCCTTTCCTCTGCCTCTGTCTAGTTCATGGGGTGTTTCATTTTAAACTGATGCTTTTCTGTACAACGTTCTGTGTTGAAACTCAGTCAGTCATAGTAACGGTAGGAATACGAAGTGCCGAATCAAATCAAAATAATATAAGATAAACAAAGAATATATTACAATATGTAAGTATCAGAATGCCTAATAACTTAGACGTAAAGTTTGGTGATAAAGTCCTCAGCAAAGTGCCGTATATACTCTATTGTGCTTCTTCACTTTAGATTCCCTGATGTGGTCGTTGATGCTTATATGGCAAGGGGAGTAGTATTTCCTCTAAGTTACCTATTATTGTAGTGGCAAGCAGGTATCCAGAGTGAATGAGAACACGATTTGTGGAAGCAACAAAAATGCATATTTTTTTTATTTGTCGTGTAAGTTATTACACTTCAGGAAAAAAGTGTACGCGACAGACAAACATAGCTTTGGTTCAAATAAGAGATAAACAAAATGTTCTTATAAGAAAGAATGTTATGCTTGACTTTACAAAAATCATGTTTAGCGTTCTTATTTTTCATGCTGAGTGCTGTTAATTTCCACACAGACTTGATAGTAATGACAGCTTGCCTTGATTTCCCTATCCTCGCTTTGATACACTCATCATTTCCGCCCGCCTGTAGTTGAAACGATGCTTCCCAGATAGGTAGGTAAAGGAGGCTGCTTCTTTGAGATTTCTCCCATTTTAGCTGATTGTTGTCTGTTGTTGTTGCTGTTGCCATTGCTCTGGACGCTTCTTCTGCCAACTTGCTGCCTTTCACTTGCATATCTTCCAGTTTGTGGGAAATCAGACATATATCATAGGCGAAATCCAGATCATCCAAGTTTTTTGTGTGGGTCCATTTTATGCCTGTATCCTCGTTGCTCGGCCAGCTGTCTGTCGCATTATGCAATCTACCACAATCAGGAAAATCATTAGAGGTAGTAGGCAGCTTTGTAAGAAAATAAGCGGATTTTTATTTAGTGTAGGGAGATTAGAAATTGCCATCAAGTTGTTATTAATAATAGATGAGATTTTGTCTGATGGAAAATTACCATTAGTTTATATTATTATCACTCTTATTCGCTTGGATTCCCAGTGGGGTGTTGGGTTTCAGCAGTACATCTCCTTTTCGCTCTGTTCTTTGCAATCCTTTCTAGCTGGCTTCACCATTGCCGATAAGCTTTAATCTCCACCTTAAGCAATCTTTTCCATACATCACTCGAACCTACACCCGATCGGTCATTTCTAATTTGCGTCCCAATCAATGGTCTGCCTGGCCAGCGATGTGTCACTCAGTGGTCTTCTCTGTGTATGTTCAATCTATCTCCACATTCTTATGCATATTTGTTAGGTGACATGATCTTGGATGGCCTGTTAACAGAGTTACTTGTTGCTCGTCGTTTCTGGCCATCTGACCTTCTCTGTGAAGCGAAGACGGGTGTTACTAAAACACTGAAGCCTGTTGAAAATATAATTAATGAAATCAGTGGGCAGTAATTCATTGCACACCAACGTGAGAACTTTGGATAGACAGCATTGAGGAAATATTAGGTTGGTTTAGATAATATCGAAAATTGTTCAAAGTGAGAATAGTAATAATCTAACTAGTAAGAGGTATGACAAATATCAAGATTGCAAAGATCCTGGGCCCATCGCGGGTTTCAGAAAACCTACACCTAATATTCAGAATACTATGCAGAGTAAGCAACGCGGAACTGAAATACGATTGTTTATTCTTCCACCTATAAAGAGACAGCAATACAAGTTACTGTCATCAAAGTCTGTAAACAAACGTTAAGAGAATGTACAATTATACTTCTGATCATATTTCTCCAGTCTTCTGTCAACCAGTATATAATTAAGCAATAATAGCACTCTTGTCTCCCGCCAAAGGAACACCAGTTCGAATAAAAAATGATTCAGTGTTCACGAGAATTGACAGGGCGAATATACTAGATTGAATTACAAAAATAGACACTTTAATAGTTTGAGATAAACGAATTATCAGGTATCCGTTTTGCAAGGATTTTTTTTGATTGGTTGAACGATTTCTTCATGAGCTGACATCAGTTGAAGAACTTTCGGAAAAGCAGCTGGGAGTACTGGACAGCTGTCTCGTCAGTCTAGTTTGGGACTCTTTATCAGTAAGCACCTACTGCAGGGGTTCGAACCCAAGACCTTCTGGTTACAAGGAGAGCTAGCTCGTAGACTGTTAGGCCACTGCGACCCGATCCAATGGCCAGCCAATCACTTCTAACTTCTACCAATTCACGAAATAGCGCGACCACTTTTCAATGTTTTCTTCGATGATTTACTGCCTCACGTTCAACGTGCTGTATTCTACTGGTCATGACTTCCCACTAGAACCCCAGGTAACTGCCTGAATAGGGCCAGTCACTAATGAGTATCAGATTAATTTTCAAGTACTGGCTTTGTAGGGAATTTTTTGTTTGATTGGTCGGTTGCGTATTGGTGAAGAGTCCCAAAGAGCTAGGACGAAACAGCTGTTCAGGTTTTCCAATGGTTCTCTAACCGATGTCAGCTCATGACGAAATCCTTCAACCAATGAATGTATTAGGATCAAGAAAGAAGGAGTAATTGATCTAGCCTTTTTCTGTACATAAACCTCTGGTTATTCTATCTTGGTGGTCAAAATTTCAGCAATATAGATGAGTTTGACGAATAATGGTGTAGGTAGGTTATTTTTCGCCTTATAGATAACTTTACAGGAAGAAGTTATAGAGTAAAGGTGACTAGTGTCGAAATGATGTTCAGTTATTATGCTTCTTATAGCTCCTCACTATCCTCTGTGTTAATGCAAATATGACTGTCCGGTTTGATAGTAATTTCATTGAAGAGCTTATTCACTAAATCATTTGTTCTGAATTCTCATTTAGCTTCAGCGAAAAGTGTGTATACACAGTTGAAATTGCTTACCTCAGACATCTATCAATCAGCCTGTGAAATTACAGCATATATTCTTTTCAATGTTTTTACTGTAGAAACTGGTGTTATTATTTTATTTAATTGGTAATATTGAAGGCTACTCTGAATTTCTCCCATTATTTATTTTTTTATTTTTTTTGACAACTCCAATTGTGTTCTTCAGGTTAGTACATCCCAGGTATTCTTTGGGAAGAATTTCGATGAAAGACAAAAGTGTATCAATCGTATATTGAATGAAGTCAATATTATACGTCAGCAATTAAGACATCCGAATATTGTTCGTTACTACAAAACATTTTTACACTGTACGTCAAGATTATATTTGACATTCATTTTATTTTGTCATGTAGATTATTACTACTTATACATAGAATAAGTAAAATTTCATACTTCAGTGAAGTGCGTTACACTATTTGATGCTATGCACTTGAGATTATGGAATGTTTGTCACTACATTAAAAATTAGTAAATCTAATGAATAGAATGCTAAGGTGTAGGAATGTTAAGCTATGCAATGTTTTTCCCTCTTATAATGTTAACGCTCTTAATCAGTCTTAAAACGCCTCGGCCCTGATGGTGTAGCTGCTTATGTTCTTAAACAATGTGCAGATGCTTTATGTTCTCCCCTTACTAACATCCTAAACGTTTCTTTTTCCAAAAAAGTTGTACCTGTTCCATGCAAAGACATTAAAATAGTCCCTGTCCCTAAACCTGGAAGTAGCAAGAATTTAAAATTCAGACCCATCGCCATTACTTCCCTGTTTGTACAGCTTACGGATAAACTAGTACTTCTTAAAGTTGA